ATTGGGTCTATGCGTTCTAGCAGAAGGCTCCAGGAGAACTTTGGCTACAACTCCAGATAGCTTAAGCAAAGAGAGGGGGAGTTTGTTTTCTGGCTCTGCCAGGGTCTCACAGGTTTCCTTTTGGCAGATAAGCACCCAAGCCTCAAGAAGGACCTGAGCCAGGGCCCGGGACCCAGCTGGAGCCTATCTCCTCTCATCCAGGATCCTCTGTGCAAACAGGAATCCCAACACAACCTCAGCTGGCAGAAAGGCTTTTAAACTGCTCCTTAGAGGCCCCAAGCAGAAATGAAATCTCCAGTCCCTTTTTTAAAGGTTTATCAGCTGTGTGTGTGAGTGTACAGGTACTTTACCTGTGAACAGGCATAGAAACCTAGAAGGGAAACTAACAGTAATGTGTGTGTGTGGCGGGGGTGATAAGGGGAAGGACAGGGGAATGCAGGAAATAATGGGGTGAGAACTGCTGGGGGAGATAGTGATTTTAGACAGGGTGGCCAGGGAACTCTTCTGAAATGGGGCTGTACAGGACGATCCTCAGAGCCCAACTTCTTTGGGAGTTCAGGTGAGCCACTTGGAAAATATCAACCCGGCTGGGCTTGTTCACCATTTACAGCTCCCCATAGGGGAGCAGAGAGAGTCACAGGGCCCTCACCTGAGTATCAGCCACTCCACACCAACTCTGGTATGTGTGCATCTCTGTCCTAATTACATGTGGCCTTCGGGAAGGGCAAAGTACATAGGCCGAGGGAGACTACTGAAGAGGATGTTGTGGGGTATCCACCAGAGAGACTGCTCAGACAAGGGTTTGAGCCAATAGAAAGTCTTTATTAACCAGCCACTGACTACACTGGGTGTTCGGGATCCCAGTGTAGCCCCAAGCCTTTCTCAGAGTGAGCTTTTTTTTTTTTTTAAAGATTTATTTATTATGTACACCGAAGAGGAAGCCAGATCTCATTACAGATGGTTGTGAGCCACCATGTGGGTGTTGGGAATTGAACTCAGGACCTCTGGAAGAGCAGTCGGTGCTCTTAACCTCTGAGCCATCTCTCCAGCCCTCAGAGTGAGCTTTTAAGCACAAAAACCATGTCCTGTGTTGACCTACTTCAGTTAACAAGAACAGTTAGTCAGAAGCAGAACTACAGAAGCCAAAAAGGAAGGTTAGGACATTTAGAGACTCCCAGAACAATGGACTTTGGTGGATTAGGTCTTTGTTTTCATCTTGGCTGCTGTCTACCTGCTGAGTTTTATAGACTGAATGGTACTTCCATCATGGAGTCAGTTGTGCTAAGATCTGGGGACCTATTACAGGGGACCCCATCTATGCAGCTGTAGGAAAGGCATCATCCCTGCTGGGTAAAGATGTTCCAGTGTGGCCTTTTGGTGGAAGCACACACATTTTAGTAACTAACTGGTTGCCTATGCTCTGGAAATAATCCCAATAAACTTATTGGTTTCTAGAGTTAACTGTGTTGGAATCGAATCATTGGGACCTCAGGAGAAGGGGCAGTCACAGCTTACATCTCCCCCTGGGAACAGATTTTAACAGCCAAAGGTGACATTTGAGCTCATTCCTGAAGGGAAGGAGGGAGCCACCAATGCACACAGGTTCTGAGGCAGGAGGATGCCATCAAAGAAGACCTCAAAGATCCTAGAAGGACCCAGTCTGCCCACGGGAGGGACTCAAGGAAGCAGCGACATTACCATAACAGGCTCACTCAGCCTTTGGCTGGGCCCAGGGGAAGGTGGGACCTTCACAGAGGCACGGAGACAGGTCTTCAGCTCGTCTGTTCTTCCCCTGTACTCCCCCTCAGACCCACACCTCCCCCTGCATGCCCACTGCCACCCCTACCTCCTGACCTGCCATTCCTGCCCCCTGTGAACTGCTTCCACAACCGCTGCTTTAGGAACAGAATTCAACACCAACCTTGAGCCATCGACTCCCCCCTTCCCCACCCGCCAGTGTTTGGACTGAGGAAGCTTTGGGCTCTGTTTCCTCCTCTACAGACTCCAAAAGGGAAAATGAAGAGGAAGGAGATGCTCAGGGATTCCTTGCACCAGCTCTGTCTAGGACAGCTGGACATCGGGTCAGCATGAGACTGGACTTTCCTAGGGACCAGGATATTCCAATTGTTCAGAGCAAATCCAGGCTGGCAAGCTCTGCTCTCCCCAGCCTGTTTCTTATAAAGGGGGCATATTTACAAAGCTTTGCAAAGTGGCAGGATTAACACCCACAATGTCATACAATGTCCCCCATTTTCAGCCTGCCCTGCAGTAGTCAGCCAGCCCTAAATTTTTCTTCAGGGGAAAGCCACCCAGAGTTGTGCTTCCCACTGAAGACACAGCCCCAGGCAGAGGTGGTTCCTGGGTACTTGGTGTGTAGCTAATTTGAACTGAGATACACTTTGTATGTACAATAAAAGACTATCAAAGAGTGCATTAATACCTCCCATAATAAAATATATTTTAGAATTCAAATACACATATTTTTGCAACACTAGGGATGGAACCTAATGCTGAGCAGCCACTGGGTCATGTCCACAGCCCAGCAAATACGTTCATTTTTTTCTAGATTTATTTATTATGTACAGTGTTCTGTCTGCAGGCCAGAAGAGGACAACTGATCTCATTTTGGATGGTTGTGAGCCACCATGTGGTTGCTGGGAACTGAACTCAGGACCTCAGGAAGAGCTGCCAGTGCTCTTAACCTCTGAGCCATCTCTCCAGCCCCAAATACATTCATCTTAATGTGTTAATTTTACCTGTGTCTTTTGAAACAGTCTATCAGAAAGGCTCAAATCACATAAATAACCTCATACATATACACACAAAGCACGCTGTTCTGGAGTTATGAGGCTCCGGGTTCTGCACAGGACAAAACGAAGAGGAAGCCAGGCCAGGCAGTTATTCTACAAACAGATCATGGGAAGAGATAACTTGGATTTCCTTTTGGTTTCAGTTTGTCTGTTTGTTTGTTTGTTTGTCTTGAGTTTTTTTTTATTTCATACACATCAAAAGAAGAGAGAAGAACATACTAACACATATTTAGAGTAGAGAGGACACAGGTGACAGTCCAACACCTGCAGCCAGCCACCCTCTGGCAACTTGGGGCATGGTATTTGAGAACCAGATTTGGCAATTAGAAGCAGAGCCTAAACCATGTCCCTGTTCCACTTCAGAACACTTTGTGATATCCTGCATTGTCCAGATGCGTCCCTGAGGCATTCCAGGCCCATATAGCCGGGGCCCAACTTGTCTTTCTGGTTTCCTCCCAAATACTCAAGGCTCAAAATAGGCACCTGTTGGTACACACACACACACCTTGGTTTTTCAAGACAGGTTTTCTCTGTGTAGCTCTGGCTGTCCTGGAACTCACTCTGTAGACCAGGCTGGCCTCAAACTCAGATCTGCCTGCCACTACCCCTCGGCAGGTTTTTTTGTTTTGTTTTGTTTTTAATTTTTTTTTCTGTGCATTGGTGTTTTGCCTGCATGTATGTCTGTGTGAGAGTGTCAGGTCCCCTGGAACTGGAGTTACAGACGGTTGTGGGTCACCATGTGGGTGCTGGGACTTGAACCCGGGTCCTCTGAAAAAGCAGGCGGTGTTCTCACCAGTTCACACTATTATTTCACCAACTACTCAACAAACGTTTATCGATCACCCTGCATGCACAGGCTACAGAGTGCTGGCTGCTGAGGTCACGGTTGTCAGTAAACTGGTTGCTATCCCTGAACTGGCTTGGGATACAAAACGGGGTTGGGGAGGTGAAAGCTAACTAACTAAGGGGCAATTAAGAACAAGGAAGAGCAATCCTGGATGACTGTAGGGGAAGCACAGGCCGGGAGTGCAGCGGAAGCAGCCAGGTCAAAGGGGGGCAGGCGGAGGACAGTCCATAAAACCGAAGGACACCCTGGCTGGAGGGCAAGGGCTTCCTGTGCCTTGAAAGGGATGTGGAACTGATCCAAGAAGTGTTTACTCTGGGAGCTCCACCTGAAAGGTTTCTCCCCACCCATGGGGCAGGCTGACCCTGGCACCCACTTGAGGCCTCAAGGAAAAGAAACCAAGGTCTTCTTCGGGGGAGCTCAAGATGGAGATATGGAGCAGGGTTTGGGGTATCACTGATGTTGGACTACGGTGCTGAGGCTGACTTTGAGGCAGAGCTGGATTTTGAGGGGCTAGACTCAAGGATAGAAGTCAAGACTGGGGCTGAGGGGGTACAGTTGGGATTTAGAACTAAAGTCCAGAATCCGCTGGAGTGAGGAGTTGGAGCTGAGGTTTCAGGCTAGGTGTGGTGCATCCCTCGGGCTATACTCCTGCCTCAGCCTCTCAAAGTGCAAAGTTTACTGGGCAGGCCTGGACTGTAATTACGTGCAGGCTTGACGGTAGGTATTCAGGGAGGGGCTAAAGATAAAGTGCGGTTGGATTTGGGGGAGGTGGGTTGGGGCTCAGACCGGGGCAGAGGGACAGCATTCTTTTCTCCTGCCGACCGCGTCTGCATATTGTGTTCCAGACCCAACAGCAGCAGACAAGGGCCCCTCCCTTTCCAGGAATGTCTCAGCCCCACAGAAGGCGCCGGGCCACGTCAGCCAATTGGCTCTGGCCCTGCCCTGGAAACAGCACCTGTTAATCCCCCTCCTTCCAGCTCACCTGGATGCAGGTTAGGCAGGTGAAGCGTCTCCCCGGAAACGGAGCTTGAGCGCCCCACCTGCTGGGCCCTGCCTGCCCAAATCGGATCCAGCACGGCCCAGGCTTCTCGTGAGTGCCCCCACACCTCCCCACCCGCCCCACCCCCACCTTTCCACTGGTTCTGCTACTGGGAACCTCCACCCACCTTGGGGTCGTTCCCGGGTAGGCCTGTGCCAGCACCTGCAGGCCAGCAAGCCACGGTGCTGGGAAACGATGGGACCGACTCCGCCCATGGCCCCTCCCCCACCGCCCGTGGGGGCGTGGGCATCTGCCACGCCCACTTTGCGTGCTGAGCAACCCCTGCGGAGGACCGAGGGGTAGTGGAAGACAGCTCCGTCTCCTTGGAGTAAAATCCCGTTCTCGGCTGTGTGGTCCATGTGGTCTCCAGGACTTAGGCCCCTCTGATTCACCCCGAGAATCTCTTTACCCCTTTGCCCCATGGAAAAATCTGAAAGGAAGATGTCAGATGGCTCTCCCCCTCCTCAGAATAAACTCCTCTCTCCTCGCTTTTCAGATTAGGGCTCTAAGACGTGAACTGGGGCTTCCCTGTCCCACTCCAGGCCCCGCCGGACTCGCAGCTGGTTCCTACAGGATCGGCCTCTCCTGCTGCAGGAAGCTGGGCTCCTGGCCGGCAGCGCGAGCTTTATTTTTACCTGGTGTGAGTCATGCTGTCTGTCCTCTAGGGAACAGGTTAAATGAGTAACACTGTTAGATCCCTCCCCACATTCCCACGGTGGGAAGGACTAGGCTGAGGTTCAAATCCAGAGCCCTCCTTGGCTGCCTTAGCGAACATGTGGAGGGTAGAGCCGGGGTAGACCAGTGCGGAGCAATCAGGTCAGTGAGGGAGGGGGAAGCCGGGTCTGGGCGAGAACTGAGGACCGACCGGATCGAGACATGCTTAGAGGCGGCGAGAGGCAGCCCCTGAGGGCCCGGATGGGAACAGCCAAGGGAGTTGAGGAGCCCTGGGTGGGCTGAGGGATGGTTGTATCATCTTGAGGAAGCAACACAGGAGAAACAGGTTAGGGTAAGCTGAGGAACTCGGGTTGGGCCCTGTTGCATCAGAGATGTCTTTGGCCCAGCAGGAAGATCAGCACGGGAAAGAGAGGTCTAGAGCCTGCATTTTTTTAATTGCCAGACCGAGATGGAGTCGGATTAGAGGAAGAAGTGTGTTAGGGGTCAGGTGCTAACCCACAGAGAAGGAAGGATACAGCCCTAGGAGAGAAAGGTCAGGGTCAGCCTGCTGGTTCCAGAAGGGTTAAGTCACCAGCCTCCCCTCCCCACAACTCCTCCCATCCAGGACCCAGCAGTGACAGCTGAGGCCATGTGAGTGTGGGATCCTGAATGAGGCTTTATCTCTGACTGTCCGGCCCATCATCCACTGTGGCACCAGCTCCCTCCGACAGCCTGGATGGAGACAGCCAGAGCTAGAGAGGTCAGGGGCTGGGCAAGGGGATTCCTTGAAGGGGAGGGGGGAACCCCGTGATGATGGCGTGAACTCTGCTGGGGTCAGGGGAGGTGCTTTCCCAAGGTGCAGTGCTGGGGTTGCCGCCTTCAGGAGCAGGTCCTGCGGACCCTGGCAAAGATTCTCGGGGCTCTTCCCTAAGACATCCAGGTGAGACTGTGAGTAAGGGCCAGATGGGTGGGAAATACCATGTGGTCCTTCCTGTCCTGCAGGTGATGGTAACCATAGCCCGGACTGAGAGGAGGAGACTGGGCCTCTAGCTGCCAAGCCAACCAGGGGATGGAGACACCGGGCCACGATAAACATCCTCGGAGCCCTAACATTGATCTTCTAACCTGACCTTGCCTGACCAAGCCATGTCCCAAGAAGCCTCGGTGGACAGGGGGCTGCCCCCAGAGGTCCTGGCAGAGCAGGTGGAGCTATGGTGGTCCCAGCAGCCCCGGCGCTCCTTGCTCTGTTTCTCCGTGGCCGTGGGCCTTGTGGCTGGCTGCGGGGCAGGCGGTGTGGCACTGCTGTCCTCTACCAGCAGCCGCTCTGGCGAATGGCGACTAGCTGTGGGCACCGTGCTCTGCCTGCTGGCCCTGCTGGTTCTGGTAAAGCAGCTGATGAGCTCGGCAGTGCAGGATATGAACTGTATACGCCAGGCCCAGCACGTGGCCCTGCTGCGCAGCGGCGGAGGGGCCGACGCCGCCGTGGTATTGGTCAGTGGCTTTGTGCTGCTGGTCACCGGCCTGACCCTGGCTGGGCTGGCTGCTGCCCCGGCTCCAGCTCGGCCGCTGGCTGCCATGCTGTCTGTGGGCATCACCCTGGCTTCCTTAGGCTCAGTCTTGTTGCTGGGTTTGCTGCTGTATCAGGTGGGTGTGAGTGGACACTGCCCCCCGATCTGTGCGGCTGCACCCTCCACCCAAAATGGCCACCGTGGTAACAGCAGCAGCATCTTTAGCATCTCGGGACAGTTGTCCTCTGGCCAGCGTCACGAGACCACCTCCAGCATTGCCAGCCTCATCTGACGGAGATGGAGCCCTTCTTCCCATGACCCGACTCAGTGTCCCCAGAACCTGGGACGTGCACAGGTGCGTGCATGTATGTGTGCCCCCCCTGCCGTGGGATTGCATAGCATGTGATTAGGAGCTCATGTGTACCCACACATCCACACCATGAGAAGGTGAGTGATGGATGCCTCCTTGGGACTGAATGCTTGTGTCTGAGGACTGTCATGCTCTCTGCCTCGTTCTGGGGTCTCTGGGCACATCTGGAATTCCTGAAGATTTGACCTGTATTTCTAAGACCCTACAACTCCAGCCTTGCCCTATGACATCATGCAGGGTCTGCACACAAGTGACCATTGCATACCCATGAATAGACCAGTGATTGTTCTTCAGAGAGAGTGACTTTTGGCAAAGCAGAGGGAAATGGCTCCCTGATGAGATGGACCTGGACCGGAAATGCCTTTGAGCTTATAACCTAGCAGCTGGGGCCTGGGTGAGGTGACTTACCCTCTCTTGCCTCAGTTCTTAGAAGAGTGTTGCCATTGATTTGTTAGGATTAAATGCTATCCTCAATGAGATGACTGGAGTCCTGGCAAATGTGCAATAAAAAGGTGACTACAGTTGTCTTCACCTCACCGGCTCACCTCAGAGACCCTCACTCCCCACCCCCACAGCCCACTCACTTCAGGCTATGGTGCCAGGATGTTGTCTTTAGCCAGACCTGGGGCTTCTTTTCTCATGTGAGAAGGGGGGAGGGACAAGAGAATTCCACAGGTTTGGGAAGACCAGGGGAGAGTGGGAAGACCCGGGGAGAGTGGGGGGCCCGGGGGGGGTTGGGGGACCCGGGGAGAGTGGGGGATCCAGTCCTTCACATTTGTTCACTTGCTAAGTCAAAGGGAGATTTAGCCACCGGAATTGGTGACCGTTTCTCTAGAAATGTGCCCCCTACCCTATATAGTCTGCCTTCTGTGGATTCCCTGAGGGATGGCTTGGAGGGTGTGTCTTCCTCCCCTACCTGGGAAACAAGGACAGCCTGCAATCCGTGTGGTCGCTGTACCAGTTGGCCCGCTTCTGGGTTCCAGGCAGGAAGAGGTGTTCAAGCCCTTCTCAGGCAGAAAGTTACTTCCTGCTTGGAGTCACTGTGGAAGGGATCTCTCTTCCTGTGGAATGCATTTCCAGGTAACAGGAACATAGGTAACCGCTTTTACCACTTCCTGCTACACAAAGTGCAGATTCTGTGAAGACACCAGAGACCTGCCTCCTAAAAGATGCTGATATAGGAGAAACTTCAAGTAGGAGAAGGGATGCTATAAAGCAGCATTTCTCAACCTGTGGGTCGCAACCCATTTGGGGTCGAGCAAACTTTTCACAGGAGTCACATATCAGATATGCTGCATGTCAGATATTTATGTTATGATTTATAACAGTAGCAAAATTACGGTTATGAAGTAGCAAAGAAATAACTTTGTGGGGGGGGGCGGTCACCACAACGTGAGGAACTGTATTAAAGGGGTGCAGCATTAGGAAAGTTGAGTACCACTGCTATAAAGGATTTACTAATAAACTTGCTTGGGAAATATTAAGTTACACAAAGTAGAATTTAGCTAAAGGAGCGCTGCCTCCAATATGAAGCTTAGTAGTACAATTTGAAGATAAGTAGTACTTTAACCAGACTTCTTAGAAACTGTAAGAAAGAAAATTCCGTATTACACTTGAAGTTTAGGTTTGCTAAGAAAGTTTCTGCTAATATTTATTCACCAAGATTGACCTACAATTAGGCTCCATTCCCATAATAGAAGGAGACAACCTTGATTGACCACCGGCTGTTAGACCCATCCCCATAGCAAAGAACGGGCCTCTTCGGGGCAGCTCACGTGGGCAGGCCAGGCCACAACCACCAGTAAGTCCTGGTCTGCCATTGAGCCCCCTGTGCCCTCTCAGGAGAGGCATACGTCTGCCAAGTGGACAAGATGGAACTTGTAATGACTTAATACCGGAGCTTTCAGTAGACAGGGCAAACCATGTCTCCTGGAGAGATGCAGGGCTGGTGGACAAGGGGAAGGGGGCTGCAAACGGAGAGAAGGGCAAGGTGGGCAGAGCCAGGGGAGGAAGACAGCACATGCCCCAGAATGCCAGAACAACAGAAACCCATCTTCTGGATGTTCCATGGGGCTTCATCCCTCCGCACATTCAAAATGGGATCACTGCGGTCTACCTTAGGGGTTTCTACATCTGTCTGGTCTGAAGGTGCCACCAATCACTCTGCATCCCAGTCAGAGACCTCATCGTGGTCCCAGACATTGGAGGCACTTTCATTGTCTCCTCCCCAAGGCCAGTAACAATACATCTCCTCTGAGCCCCTCATAGACATCTGCTTGACAACACGCACCTCCACACTCTTCAGAAGGGACCTCTTTGTGTTTGTCCTGGTTGTGTAGCTTTATCCACACTCCTCAAGTCCACCTCTGTCACAGACACACATATGAGCCAGAGTGATCATCATAAAACTAAAATGAAAAAAATATCTACCTTAAAATCTTTAACTTAAAATTTTTCCTAATGCCACGTGGTCTTGTTCTCTCTGCCTCCTGGACCGGCCCCACCCAACTATTTCCATACACTTTCAACATTCTCTCACCCTTCCCAGCGTTTGTCCTGTTTTCCATCCTCATCCTTGAAGACCCCATTCTCTGGGAAGCCACGTTCTCTAGAGAGCCCTCCCTGACCCTGTCCCTTAAATTGGTGACTTGCTCTTTTTTGAAGCCCAAAGCATCCTCAGCTGCCGATGCTAACCCAGAGCTCATGATGTGCCTGGAGAGACTCAGTCAGGGTCAAGCTCCTCCCTGCAGAGAGTTTTGGTTTTGGTTGTCTACTGATCCCTGTCCCCCACATGGACCTAATGTGCAGCCTAACATGCAGCAGGTGCTTTTGTTGAGACCGAAGCGCTGCGGCTTGGGCAGATGGCAATGTATGCACAAGGTCAGCGAGACCCACCCTTAGCCGGCAAGGGAAGTAGAGCCAGGGCACACCTGGCTCGGAGCCTTTCCCTCCTGAGGCCTTCAACTCTCTCCCTGAGAAATCTTCCTGGGTTCCCAAGAGATGCAGTCCCAGGCCAACTCCTGGGAGGCAAGGGACCACAGGACATCCTTCCACCTGGAATAAGCGAGGGAGGGGTCCCTTTTCCTGCTGGCTGAGACAGGCCTCATCTCTCTTCAATATTTCTTTTAAGAAATTAAAGGAGGGTTGGGGATTTAGCTCAGTGGTAGAGTGCTTGCCTAGCAAGTGCAAGGCCCTGGGTTCAGTCCTCAGCTCTGGGCAGGTAGGGGGCGGGGAAGAAATTGAAGGAGTTCAGAAACACAGAGGCTTGGAAAACAGGAAGGGGGCACACAGCTTAGACATCTCACTGAGCATGTGGCAATGGTGTCAGCCTCCCAGGGAAGGCTGTGAGGGAGAGAACACAGCGCGTGTCCCAGATGGCCTGCTCCATAAGGCTGTAGAGGTCGGCCATCGACCCACCGGACCGTGATGTGAGGCAAGTAATACAGCCAGCCAGCAGTACATCTACTGCCTCCAGCACCAAAGCAGGCCTGCAGCCCGTCCTTGCCCGCCACTGCCTTGTTTCAAACATTTCACTCAGCCTCTGCTAAGCCACATCACCAGCAGCAGCCCACTAGCTTCTCTGCTCTCTCCAAAGCTGTCTCTTCTTGAAGACACTCGGAACTGTCTTCACCTCCCTTGAGTTTTGGTTAAGACTCTGTGGTCCACTCTTGCCCTTTGTCAGGTTCCTCCACCCCTGCTTTCGGCCAAACCTCCTCGGCAGATGAACCCACCCTCCCTCTGCCTTTGCTGCCCCTACCTCCTACCCCACCCAACACCCTGCAGAGAACAGTCCTCGGAGACATCTGCCCTGGATGCACCTCCCACCCCAGGCTCCACAGCTGACTCAGCCCCCTGCCACTGCACAAACACACTACAAGAGATTACGGGAGGCAGCCGCTCTTCCTCCCTTTTGAGAGCCCAGGGAGGAATTTAGACTTTGTCCTCAAGACACTGAAAAACATGAAAAGATTTTAATCAGGGGGACTGTGGCTCCAGTTAGTTAGCCGGCTTGGCTCCTCTGTGGAGGTGGAGATTAGCCTGGGGAGGAAAAGAAGAAATGGGTAAATATCCCAGAAGTGCTGAGTTGAGGTCTCAGCTGACCCTGGGGGATGAGGGTTGGGAAGAGGAGCCCAGACAGGAAAGCAAAGGGCCTTAGCAATTTCGAGACAGCAGAGAGGGTGTATGAGGCTGAAGAAAGGTAAGGACGAAGGCCAGAGAGGGGGTGCCAAGGCGAGGGCTTCAGGGGTCTCTTAACAGGTGGGCCACTTTCTTTTTTTTCTTCCTTCCTTGCTTGCTTTTTTTCTTTCTTTTTTGGTTTGTTTGTTTGTTTTTTGAGACAGGGTTTCTCTGTGTAGCTTTGACACCTTTCCTGGAATTCACTCGGTAGCCTAGGCTGGCCTCGAACTCACAGAGATCCGTCTGCCTCTGCCTCCCGAGTGCTGGGATTAAAGGCATGTGCCACTACCACCCGGCATGGGCCACTTTCTTATGGCTGAGAGGAAGCTAGGGAAGGGCTGTTTCAAGTTTGGTAGTATGCATATGTGTTTTGCACCCGTGTGTGAAAGGATGCATGTGTACATGTGTACACGTGAACATGGGGATATTTGGTTGACATTGGGTGCCTTCCTCCATCTCTCTCCACCTTATAAATTGAGGCAGGGTCTACCCCTGAGCTTGGAGGTTGCTAGTCTGGTCAGCAGCTTGACTTGGAGACTCCCTGACTCCACTGAGCACCGGGGATCCAAACTCTAGTGCTTAGCCTTGCATGGCAAACACTTTCCACTGAAGCCGTCTCCCAGGCCGTAGTGAGGATTTTGAATGAAGAAATGGCCTGCTCAGAACTGTGTGTTCAGGTGAGCACATGTCTGCAGATAGTGGATTGCAAGGGGCAGAAGTGGAGCCAGGGAACTAGTTAAGAAATCAAGGCACAGTCCAGATGTAAGGTACTGGGACTTAGAGGATGGTCGGATAAAGCTGCAGGATGCAAGGGATGCTGGGAAAGTAGGACCCACAGAGGAACCCAGATGGGAGAGATGTGGTTGACTAAGCAGTGATCACCTCAAGATGCAAGGTAGATAGAAATCAGCCTTGGAGCAGCCAAGGCAGGCAGCCCCAGGGCACAAGGTGGATAGATGGGGGGGGGGTTGTTACTCCTTTTGGTAAAGATAAAGAAGAGTGTGATAAAGGTGAGTTTGTGGGTTTGAAGCAGAAAACTGGGGGAGTCCCTGGCCAATGGCCATTCTCCCTGTAAGGTGGAGGCCATTTTAAAGGGTTGCTATGGAGGAGGGAGGGACTGACCATCGATTCAAAATAGGATATAAAGAACAACAGACCCTCCAGCTGGGCCAGCTCGGAGACCCTAAAGCAGGATGTAAAGACTACATGGTGTTGGTCTCTCTAGCCTGAGGGACTTCCTTGCTAACAGAGCATGCCCAGAATGCTATTATTACCTTTTCACCTAGTAAACTTTTCAACATTGGGGAGCCTTAAATCTCTCTACATATTCTTGCATCTTATACATCTTTTTAGAA